TCTTTCCTCTCCATTTCTCCCTCTCTCATTCTCTCACTTTCTTACCATTTCTCATTTTTCGCGCTCTCCTTCCTTTCTCTGACTTTCTCGGTCACTCTCTCCCTCTCCTATCTCCCCCTTTCCTTCTCTCTCCTCCTTTCTCTCCCTTACACTTGTACTACTGCTCTCCCTCTCTCTCTTATTCCTTCCCTCCTTCGCTTCCTCCTTTACTCCTTTATCTCCTTCCCTCTTTCGCCATCTCTCTCTTTCCCTCTTTCATATCTTCCCTCCCTTCCTTCTTATCTCCTCTGTTATCTCCTTCATTCCCTCCTTCCTTCTTTTCCAGTCTCTCTCTCCTTCCCTGATTCCCATCTCTCCCTCGTCCTTATGTCTTTCATTCCCTCTCTCTTTTGCTCCTCCTTTCATTCTATCCTTCCCTCTCTCCTCATCTCTCTCTCTCCCTACCTGGCTCCCTTCTTTCCCTCTTCCTTATGTCTCTCATTCACTCCCTGCTCCCCCCCCCCGTTTCTCTTTCGGGTTCACAGGAATTTGCTCGCGCTTGTTGTCTCTTTTATTCTCTCTCTCTATTTATCTATCTCTGTCTGTCTATCTATCTATCTCTTTGTCGCTGTCTCTCTCTATTTCTCTTTCTTTCTCTCTCACTCTCTCTCTCCCCCTCTCTCCCTCCCTCTCTCTCTCTCTCTCTCTCTCTCTCTCTCTCTCTCTCTCTCTCTCTCTCTCTTCTCTCTCTCTCTCTCTCTCTCTCTCTCTCTCTCTCTCTGTCTCTCCCTCCCTCCCTCCCTCCTTCCCTCCCTCCTTCTCTCCCTCCTTCCCTCTCTCTCTCTCTCTCTCTCTCTCTCTCTCTCTCTCTCTCTCTCTCTCTCTCTCTCTCTCTCTCTCTCTCTCTCTCTCTTCTCTCTCTCTCTCTCCCCCCCCCCCCTCTCTCTCTCTCTCTCTCTCTCTCTCTCTCTCTCTCTCTCTCTCTCTCTCTCTCTCTCTCTCTCTCTCTCTCTCTCTCTCTCTCTCTCTCTCTCTCTCTCTCTCTCTCGTTTTCGCTCCTGTTTCTCTCTTCTATGTAGTTGTTATTACTGTTGTTGTTCCTCCGCTTCCGAGCATAATGCTGTTGTCTCAGGCTCTTCCGCCGCGCTTCCGGCCGAGAGGAGAACTCCCCACAGATTTTGGATAAGTTGTTTTCGTTCTTCTGCGGGTCGAGGCTGCAAGTTCGGATGGAGAGATTTAGAGCTTACTTTTACTGTGATGTAGAAGTAGTTATTATCGGTGTTATTGTTGATATCCCTTTTGTTATGATCTATTTTTTTTGTTATTGTCATTTTGATTATTGTTTTACCTTTAGGATTATCTTTTCATAGTGACTATCATCATCACTGCATTTTGTTTTATATTGACATCATTATCATTATTGTTATCAGCTTGTTGTTCTGATTAATCTGTCGTTGATATTATCAGTTGCATGAAGTTACTGCATGAAATGTGGCCAGTTATTTGAGTACCAAATATACCATATATACGATAAAAATAACTAAGGTTCTTTTAATCCTTAATATTCTAAATATAAAAAATATCACATTATTCCCATATCGAAATCTAGAAACTTAACACAAAACAACATCATATAACAAATACCTTTTTTTCATCACTACCCACCCTCCTCCCCCTCCATCAGGCAAGCGAAAAATGACCCCACCGAGTAATTCAAATGCGGCGGGCCAATACCGTAGACTTTTCCCCCTTCGCCTTCCGCATTCCGAGTGACACGTTGACACTCGTTCACGTCGCGTCCGCCAGCCCGGTTACGAAGGCCGGGGACATCACGCCGCGCTGGAAAAAAAAGCCTCGGTGGTTGACAGCTTGAACAGGAGGTGCTTGACTGCTTTAATTAAGCTTGAGAGAGCGATATCAAAAGCCGTGTCTTCCTCCTCCTCTTTCTCATCTGTCTCCTCGCTACTCCTCCTCCGTCTTTCCTTTATTCTATTTCTTGTTGCCGTTTTTTATTAGTTTTCCGTCCTTCCTTTCCTTTTTTTTAATTTTTTTGTTGCCCTTATTTTTCCGTTATTTTCCTTCCTCATCCCCTGGTTTCATATCTTTCTCTTCTTCCTTTCAGGCCCCCTTTTTTCGTATTCTTCCTTACTTTCTTCGCTTTTTTCTCCTATCTAATTCTACCCTAATCCCCGACCTTTTTACCGTTGTCTCATTTTTTGTGTGTTCCGACTTTATACCTTTTCCCTTCGTTTCATCCGTTTCTCTTCTGTTTCTTTCTTATCGTTCTCCTTTTTTTTTCTTAAAGACTTTCCTGTTGCAATTTCTCCTTCTTCTCCTCTTCCTCCATCTCCTCCCTTCCCCCTCCTCCTCCTCCTCCTCCTCTTCCTTTCCCTCCCTCTCTCCCTCCCTCCCTCCTTCTCTTCCTCCCTCTCTCCCTCCCTCCTCTTCCCTCTCTTCTTCTCTTTCCCTCCCTCCCTCCCTCCATTTCTCCCTCCCTCCTCTTCCCTCTCTCCTTCTCTTTCCCTCCCTCCCTCCCTCCTTCCATTTCTCCCTCCCTTCCCTCCTCCCTCCCTCCCTCCCTGCCTTTCTCCCTCCCTCCCTCCCTCCCTCCCTGCCTTTCTCCCTCCCCCTCCCTCCCTCCCTCCCTCCCCCTCCTCCTCCCTCCCTCCCTCCTTCCTTCGCCAAGAGGACAATATCATCCTCTCATCAGACACGTAATTATCCAGGCTTTAATTGCCATGGCTGTAAACTTGATCGTTATCGCGGGATTTTACCGCTAATAATTTGGGTTGGAAGTGAGATCATTATGTCACCCGTTTCATCATCTCGGTTGTTATCGCATTTTTTTTTCTTCTTCTTCTGTCTCTCTCTATCTATTTTTCTATCTCTATCTATGTCTGTTTGTCTGTGTATTTATCTATTTATCTGTTTTTTTTTTCTCTTTATGTATCTATTTTTCTTGTTTTCTGTTTCTCTTTCCCTTTTTCTCTTCTTCCCTTTCTTCCTACTTCTCTTTCTCCCGCCTTCCCCCCTCTTCTTCTTCCCTTCTTTCCGTCTCTCCCGCCTTCCCCTTCTGCCATGGCCTCCCTCCCTCCCTCTTTTCCCCACCCCCCCTCTCCCTTCCATCTCCACCCAACCCTATACATGGGTGCTCCCCCCCCCCCTCCTCTTCCCCTTACCTTTGCCCTTCCCTTCTCACCCTCCTCCTCCTCACCCTCACTCTACCCCTCCTCACTCTTCCTCCTCCCCTTCCCCTTCCCCTTCCCCTCCCTGCCTCCCCCCCTCCCATTTCCCCTTCCCATCCCCTCCTCCCCTTCCCCCTTCCCTTCTCCTCCCCCCACCTCCCCCCTCTCCTATTTCCCCTTCCCATCCCCCTCCTCTCCTTCCCCTCCGCCTCCCCCCCTCCCATTTCCCCTTCCCATCCCCCTCCTCCCCTTCCCCCCTTCCCTTCCCATTCCCCTCCTCCCCTTCCCCCTTCCCTTCCCCTTCCCCTCCGCCTCCCCCTCCTCCCATATCCCCTTCCCATCCCCCCCCCCCGTCGCCACCGGGCCGAGGGGTCGAAGTGCCATTGGAACGAATGCGACGCTTTTAAAAGGGTCCAGCCGGCGTTTGCAGTATTGAATGAGAGTTGTACGCCGACCTGAGTGCATAATTTACAAGTCGTGTCAATCACTAGGAATTAATTTTCACAGACTGTCATGACGGAGGTATGTCACAGGGCGAGGAAATGAGTGAGAGGAGGAGGGGAAGGGGAGGGGGAGGAGGAGGAGGGGAAGAAGGAAGGGGATAGAATTGTTATATTGAGGAAATGAGTGAGGGGAGGAGGGGAAGAGGAAAGGGGAGAGGGAAGGGGATAGAATTGTTATATTGGGAGAAAGGGGGTAGACATGCCTCTTGTTCTTTCTTGCTCTATCTCTTTCTGTCTCTTTTCTTTGTCTCCTTACCTTTCCTCCTCCTCTTCCCCTTTCTCCTACCTCCTCTCTTCTCATCCTCACTTCCTCCTCCTATTCTCCTTACTCTTCTCCTCCTCCTCCAAATTCTCCAATTCCCTTTATTCCCTCCATTTCTCTTTTTTCTCCAAATCTCCTTACTTTTCTCCTCCTCAGTTTTCTCTTCCTTCCCCAAGTCTTCTCAATTTTCTTCCTTTCTTTTTCCTTTTCTCTTCTTTTTCTTATATCTTTCTCCTCCTCCTCCAACTCTGCTTACTTTTATCCTCTTTCGTTTCTTCCTCCTTTTCCAGTTATCCGTACTTTTCTCTTCCTTAATTCCTTTCTCCCCACCCCACCCCTTTCATCACCTCTTTCTCCAATTCTCAATACTTTTCCCCTCCCTCCTTCTCCTCCTCCTCTTCCCCCTCCTCCTCCTCCTCATGCTCCTCCTCCTCCTCCTCCTCTCCTTCCCCCTCCACCTCCTCCTCCTTCTCCTCCTCCTCCCCCTCCTCCCCCTCCCCCTCCTCCTCCTCTTCCTCCCCCTCCCCCCCTCCCCCTCCACCTCTTCTCCTTCCCCTCCTCCTCCCCCTCCACCTCCCCCTCCACCACCACCACCACCCGGGCTCTATCCAGCAAAACATTCGTGACTTAAAGCATTTTGCGTTCGTGCCGGGACTTCGTAAACATTAGTAGTGCATTCGCTGTAATCGTCTTGTTCGCTAATATCGCGCAGACACTCAAAATGGCCCCGTTCTTAATGGGCCAGTTCGGACAATCGCATTTTTCGGAGGGCGTTTTTTGGGGGTTGGCGTCTGCATTTCATTGTTTGT